TGTTGAATTGTCGTATATGCATTACACCTGTGTTGATTGAACATTGTATGTAATGAAGTGCTTTGATACATTATATATGTATAATTGTTAGGAAGGAGATAGAGGATGTACTCCAGTGTGTGGGAGGAGATAAAGGATGTACTCCACACATACCTATGTGTTCATATACTTTAATACATTCTTATGTATCTTGATAGTTTATGTGTATGTATTACACTTGTTGGTTATACTCTGTTGTATCGTGATTATTGGTGTTATACCCTACGCTTATAATCAGAGGTACCGTTACCTTCCAGCTAGCGCCTGGAGAACTGACTACGCTGAGAATCTAAGGTACCACTCTCTTCCAGCTAGTGCCTGGTAAAATGGCATACCGTTGTGAGAGTTGTATCTTTGGCTTACTGTGCATATAGCCGGTAGAGCAGAGTTTTATTGTTTTTGTCTCAGTGTATCTGAGTATATTATGGATTGTGATGTTTACAGTTTTGGAGGGCCAAGTTGCCTCATTTGTTGATTATATACATGTTGATGATTTGTTATCTCCCTTTATTGAAGGCATGCATGTATAGATATGAATGTATTAGGAACAAACCAAAATGCCATTATGAGATTTTGGGAAAGTGTGAAGGAAAATTGGGTATTTGAAAGTATGTTTTGAAAAAGGGAAAATCTGTTGTAAGTATAGAAAATGAGAGAAAGGTAATGGGCTTAGAGAAATCAATTTTCTAAGAAGTGGTTATTGTTATGAAAGTTTGGGAACAAAGGGTAGTGAAAAGAAAAGAAAGATGAATCGCTTATAGCGTTGAATGAAATGGCTGTTTTCAAGGAAAGTTTATACTTATGTATATTTTGTATAAACTGCCACATTATTATTCTAGTATGAGATTGGGCATTCATGATCATAGCTATCTGTAAGTTATTATTGTTGAGGGCCATGTTGAGATCCCTACTGGACTATATGTTCATCCCACGTTGTTGAATCTTTTTCAGGTGTTAAGCAGGATGTGCTACAAGAT